ATTTCCTTGGTTAAAGAGGTTTTAGATGCATTCTCTTTGGATACAGGACTTTTGAAAATAGGTGAGGTCATATCCTACTTTATATTCACGCCCTGGCTTAGATCTTTCTACGACCACTTTGTTTTAGTTCATGATCCAAAATTACTTTTTTCCCTGATGCCAAAGATATTGTTAGGTTGCTGTGTTTTCTAGGTTTATGAGGCATTCACTTTATTCTTGATGCTGCCAAGATATTAACCAACAACATCGAAATCAGATCAGAAAACAATCGACTAAAACAGTCAAAACAGTGGTAAACAGTGAAGTAACTTCCTATTACAATCCAACGCCAACCCTTATTTATCTCTTAGGTTTTCCTTGGTTTGAGAGGTTTGAGATGATTAAAAGATCAGAAGAAGATCAGAACCCTGATCTATAAGATAGTTTTATTACTATCTGCTAGTCACGTCGATCTAAATTATTTCGGTTTCAATGTACGAGTTTTGAATTCGTTGTACCACCACAGTTCACTTGCTCAAAATCCATCAGACCTAGTATCCAGTAATTTTTTCTTATTATTATTAATTAAATTTATTTATTAAAACTGGTCTTATTAGACCAACCATTAATTTTACAATAATACCGTAGTGGCCACTTGTAGCTATCACACGTTACCGCGTGATAACGCCCTCCACTCTGCAGCCAATCAGAGTAGAGCTTTTGCCTATAAAAGCAGGAGCACTGCCTCGCTGGAAGTAGACTCGTCAACCCGACGAGATCTCACCAATCACTAATGTAACCGACATCGGCAACAACGACAGCAAGTACTCGCAGCATTAGCCTGATCTCGCCTTTTAAACACCCGACTTGACCGTAAACGCCAACTGCCCCTCGGCTAAATGCTGTACTCCAATACATTCGGCCTCTGTGGAGTCAACCGACTCACGGCCCCCAAACCTCAGCGAACGGTTTACTCATGGTCACAGACCACCACCAACGGCGCCACGCACACGGTCTCGGCCTCGATTCATCGTCACGCTTTCTATACACAACACCGGCCCTTATCAGGGCCACAAAACTCCCAGTCACTAAAGATACTGTACAATAAATGTTTGCATTCTTATAAACCCATTGGTACAATAAGATTTAAACAATTTACTATTCATTTTTAACTACATAAGTTCATATGGCTTTTGTTCTTTTTAATCTTGTTAGCATGTTTCGGTTATGTAAGAGTTTGGTCGCTTCCACATTCTCGTGCTGGCTCAGGCGAGCCTAGTGTTTGGCGGCAAATCATTGCATTTCTTAAGATCCCTATTCTTTATGTCCTTATTCTTTATGTACCAAGGTGTGCTGACCATGTTATGTAAGATTTTATTTTGGAGTGTTTGTATAATCGTGATATTGCTGTGTTTGGTACAACCCCATAGTTGAATACCATATGCCCACATAGGCTTTATGACTTGTTTATATAATAATATTTTATTTTTATAGCAAGGTTGGAGCCACGTACTATCAACCAGTATAGTTGTCTATACCTTAAACCTATTTCTGACTTTTTTTCTTCACTTTCCATCTCAGCTTGGCATCTAAGGTCATTCCAAGATATTTAGCCGTATTGCTGTATCCTATAGTAGTTCCATCGATTTTGAGCGACGGAACATGGTGCACTTTTTTGTCTGTAAAGATTATATGAACTGATTTATGCTGATTTAGCTTGATTTTATATTTTTTTGTTCATTCGTTTATCTTATTACATGCATTTTGGAGGATTTCGGTTGAATGGGTGATAGTCGGTCCTAGTGATATCACAGCTGTGTCATCTGCAAACTTTGCAATTTTTACTTCATCTATTTTCGGAAAATCACTGGTGTATAACAACTAAACACTCGTGCATTTATTGTTTTTAATTTTGAATATTGATCTTCTTGTTTGAATTAAAATAGTCTGTCTGTTAGGTAGGAACTGGTAATATCGACATACTGCTTTGGTAACATACTTTTTAGTTTTTTGACGAGTCCTTCGTGCCAGACTTTGTCAAAAGCTTGTGAGACATCAAGGAAGATAGCAGAACAAATTTGTTTTCTTCAAGAGATTTTTCTATTACGTCCGTTACTCGGTGAATTTGGTCTATTGTTGGATGTCTTGTTCTGAAACCAAATTGGTGGTCATTTTGACTTTCATATGGCATATATGTCGTATTTCGATATTTTCGAAACTGAGCATGGACAAAGGAAGCGGAGTTGTCTTTTCAACTCCTTTTTTCCTTCGACATTCTTATTTTATTAACAGCTGATATTATTTTAAAACCTTCGTTATGGAGGCAAGTTACAACATCTATTGGATCACAAGATGGGTGTAAATTTCTGGTAATTGCTCTTAGATTTGTTTATTATCATATATATGCCACTCGATGTTTTTTGGGCTGTTCATGAGTTCTGTAATTCTCCTATACTCAGTTTCATTGTCAACGTTAATTTTTATTTGGTCATTGTTCATGAGTTCAGCTTTAAACTGTTTAAGTATCCAGTAATGAAACAGAAATTCATACTTTACAGTCATGATTAATCGATCATAAAACTACTGGAAGGCATAAACGTTTTTTACCTACTCTTTTATTATTCTATAAAGTCAAGAGTTTAAAGAAAAGTAGATATGAATCTGAAGTGGAGGAACAATTATGTCCTTCGTAATCACCAAATTTTAAAACTTTTCCTTGGAAATTATAGAAACCGTTAAGCTTTTGATATGATGGCTTTCACATCGATTTTACGCGCGTCTTGTCGATTCATCAGGCTTGCAATTACCGTATGTAAATCGGATATGAAGAACATCCTCGCCTCGTTTGATATCCAACCGTCCATCCGGCCCCAATTATCCGAGATGTCAGGGAAAGAATTGGATTTTATGTACGGCTCGGTCCGCGTTATAACATTTTCGTTATGTGTTTGTTCAAACCGATCCAAGGCGACACTATATTGACTTGAGAAGGCAATTACGACATGTTTGATATCCTATCTCCATAGTCAACAGCTCGTGCATACTCCGTAGCGCAGAGCTATAATTGGCATGTATTTTACAACTTCCTCACTCGTCTCAATTGTTTACAGTTCAATTTAAACTTACACTTGATTTAAGGGTTCTTATTCCAAGAAGCGACCTGACAAATTTATTTAGAGGTGTAAGCGGCAATCAACTTCACAAACTTGCTCGTTATAATTAATTATTGCTGAATTCTAGAGCATAAAGGTTTTCTCTTGGGAAACGGGAATAAACACCGTTTTAATAATTACTTCAACGTTCAGCTAAGCAACAAGTTTGTTTTACCAAACAAAACGAGAAATCTTGAGTTGATTGTTGACCTTAGTAAATAAGCGCCAGATCAAATATACAGCAGAAACTGAACACGATTCTAGTATGATAATAGCATAACTCGACATAACTGACAATTTCAGTTTGTCAAATATAATTTCGAAATTAACAGCAGCCAATAATGAAAGCCCCACCGCTGAAGATGAAAAGACTAAATCCGCCTGACACTGAAGAAACGGGAGCTCGGAAGGGCAATCGACGTAACCCGAAATATTTGAAATATATTGCTATACTAGAAGAGAAGTAGAAATGAAAGGAGGACCAAAACAAGAATTTAATCAAGCGGTGCAAAGAGCGAGCTTCAATCGGACGTAATTCCTGACAGGCGAGAGCTGACAATTCCGGCGGATGTTCGATTTACGTTGAACGTCGCCTTCAGGTTTCATATTAGATTCCGTTATTGCAATGCTTCCCCTGCCTTTTTGTTTCCAACTCGGGTATTAAAACAAGGGAAATTCGTCCATGTCGCCTACTCACAGAGCTGACCAGATAACTGCAGACACTTTCGATGTAGATCGTCAGCACGTTATATGACCTCTACTCCAACCTTAATCATGAGAATCATATGGTTCTCTTTCCTTTCCGGGTTTTTTACAGAAAAATATCATTGCCATTATAGCGACGTTTGTGTTCTATTTCAAATATTAAGCTTATATATATGAAATATATTAAAGTGGGTCGCTATCGCCTTAATCCATCTGGCATTTGGCTTCGAGTACCTCATGACGTCATGTATAATGATGTGTGTGGGCGAGTGCGAAGTGAGGTAGGTGAAATAATAGGAATGTAGGTGAATAATTAAGGAAGTGAAATTACGGAAGAAGAACAGTACTGGCTTGGAGAGCAATGCAGTAACTAAGCAGACCAGTTAACTGGCTTGCCCGTATACTCGGTCGTCCTAGAAAGGACAATGAGGATCTTTAACGACTTCACCTAGCCTATTCGGCCTTAGAGGACGTTTTGATTCTCAAGATGAGAGCTGACGCACCTCCACATACGACAGAATGGTGTTACTGCCGCAGCATTGGTGTAGAGGCGGCTTAGCCCCGAAGGCCCAAGACAACCAGACTAGACGAGTTAACAGTGTAACAATAGTTGAGGTGATAGGACGAATCTGGGCCGACCTCGGTAAACTTTACAAGTGAATATTCAATTTGGGAAAGTGCTCGCGTAAGGCAGTATGGCAGAGAAAGGGCAGACAACCTGGGATGAAAACCTATTAGTAATCTAAATATTTACACCTAGCAGTTCCAAAAAAAGAAAATTGCCAGCCGATTCTGGTAAAACGGGGTCATCTTTGGTCTTCTTCTCAAATACTGCAATGAATCGCAAGTTTTCCTCTAATAACATTATCTGTAAGACAGTTCAGGTATATCACGTCATGGAAGAGAACAGAGAACCTTCACAGGTTTGACATGATCCAGAGTAGTGTTTGCTTTTGTGTGAACTCTTCTGAATAGAACATAGTTCAGATACTATTTACATGTGCAAAGGTCGATGGTGACAGGAAAGGGCTTGACAAATTTTTGGTGATGACCAAAACTGCGAACTCCCAAGATGCTCAGTTCAACAAAATTCTTATTGTGACCCAATATGGCAACACGGCATTGTCGAAATGTTTTAATTTAGTTTGATTTGTTAAGACTTACCGTTCTTTTCAGCCTGCAGACCGACAGCTTGCTAAGGCCGGTGATAATGGCCATCAGAGAGTTGAAGTTCCCCACGTTGAAACAAGCCTTGGCGGTTTCGACCCAAAATTCCAAAACCCGCACCCTCTGCTTTTTGTTTTTCTTCTGCTGTAAGACGATAAATGAAAACAACGTTGCTTAGCAAATTTCCGATCGGTCCTTACCCGAACTACGTCCGTGACGACGAGCCGGCAGAGCCTGTTGGTCCAGTCTTGATACACTTCCAGGTTGGATGTTATCCGGGGGTCTTTGAAAGTGCTGTCAATCCCGAGGCTGTTGTGGGTGTAGGCGAGGACGAACTCCTCAGGTCCGATGTAGCTCAGTCGTTCCAGCTCGATGTTAGTCAGCTGCTGAGCCAGGTTGGAAGCTGTACCGCAAAGCTCTTGAACCTCCATCTAAACAAACAGAAAGAACAACCATAAGACATCGTGGTTATTCTACCTTAACAGTAAGTAACGAAACATAGTTTGGTCATTTATTGCTTGAACCAAATTAGCTTTTCCAGTCCCGAGCTTTTGATAGTGTCTGGCCCTTAAGAAATCATCAGAATCTGTAAACCGTATGACCAACTTTATATTACCTTATCAAAGAGTCTTATTGTTTCATAATAACGAGCGGTACTGTGTTCCCAAATGTCAGACCAACACAAGTTGTCCCACAAGAAATCAGATGCAGATGATGATGAAAGGATTTTTGGAAGTGGTGCTTGTATATTCTCCAAGCATTGCAGCGTATTTTCTTTTTGTACTATTCCTCGTTAGTTCAGTTCATTTCATTCGATTAAGTACTAGGTTACTGTCATTAAAACAATTCTTTTTTCCGAATTTTCTTGTTTGTGACTTCAATGAGCAGTTGCCTAGGATTCGAAGATGGGTTGCGGTTTCCTCATCATGACATAGTCTTTAAATACAGATACATTGAATACACCCATTTTATGTAGGTGTTTTCAAAGATAGCCTCGAGCTGTATATATCCCTACAATTCCCTTAAGTTTTACGATGACTGTAGCAATGTTGTACGTTCTTAAATTTGGAGACTATATTTGATCTTGTTTACTCAATTGTGGAGCTTTCAACATAGTCTTACCGACAGTGTGTTTTGTGATTGGCCAGTCATTACTGTCCCTTGTGCCCTGGCATCTAAGATATCCGGTGATGTTTTCCGAGGTTATGAAGAATTTGCATTCATTGACTATTTTGGGTGTGCTGTTTTATACCTGTTATATCAGTGTAACCTTTTTTAAGATTTTGTAAGACAGAAGCATTCTGAAAATTGTTTATAGATCGGATATTTCTATACAGCTCAACATCAACATTATTAACCATGCGAATGGCACCACAATTCTGTCTTCTAGTGCAAATCCTAATAAAACTCCATGGACCTCGAGTTTATCAGCAAGAAGAGCTATCGAGCTACTCTCAACTAGTTAGCAATCAGCAACTTAACAGAAGATTTGGAAAGCGGAGAAGATTTCTAGGACCAAAAATCTGTTTTGTAACCTGTTTAAATCATCAAAATTCAGCTAACTCTAAACAAGGCTATATTGATATATGGATAGAAGCGTGCGGTTCTGCCCAAACGTTCCAATATCCAGCACATCCAGTCAAAAGTCCTCAGACCAATTGTCAAACTAATGCCCTTATCCACAAAGACTTCATCATCACTTTGGTCAACAAAACGATCCGATTTCTTTTCCACGTTTCACAAAAGTTCCACATCAAGCTTCCTTCATCCAAATTCTGCCCATTTTACATTATGTAGGTAATCCTGAGAATACGTTTTCCAATTAAACGAGAATAATCTCGCGACCTCCTCTCCCTTACTCGCTCAGTGAGTTTCTCTGTTGGCCTGAAGTGGTGACCACAATTTGACATAGAAAAAGCCTGTCATTTCCCTTAATAAAACTTTTTAACTATTTTAAGAAACTTAGTTCGCTCCAATCACATTATTATACAAAAGGTTAATTATTTACAGTTTACGCTTAAATTAATTGAGAATTTTAGTTGAGATAAAAAAGTTAATGTCACGAGCGGGATTCGAACCCACGATCTTCGGCTAGATACGCCCCTGCTCTACCACTTGAGCTATCGTGACCTCGATCCACTCTGACACTAACTTCCCATCTCAAACCCACCTTTTGAATGAGAATTTAGTGTCCGAGTGGATAGAAGTCACGATAGCTCAAGTGGTAGAGTAGCGGTGTATAAAACCGAAGGTCGTGGGTTCGAATTCCGCTCGTGTCATTGACTTTTTTATCTCAACTAAAAACTTTAATTAATTGAAAGATATTAATTGGTCAAGCGTACCACGAAAAATAGTGAAATGAATAAGTTAAATGAATTATATCTTCACTAACGCGCTCCGTGGCCATTTCAATTGTTGCCGAGAATGAAATAGATTACACGACATTTAAAAAATGGCATAAAAGGAGGAAAAATTCAAATGTTGGGGTTGAGATGGGAAGTTAGTGTCCGAGTGGATCGAGGTCACGATAGCTCAAGTGGTAGAGCAGCGGCGTATCTAGTCGAAGATCGTGTGTTCGAATCTCGCTCGTGACATTGACTTCTTTATCTCAACTGAAAACCTTAATTAATTGAAAGATATAAATTGGTCAAGCGGACCACGAAAACTGGTGAATTTACGCTTAAAGTTTATACAAATTTTTTTGTAATTTAGTAGGGAAAAACATGTAATAAAGTCTGAGATATTTTCCATAAATTTTTAACAATTAATACAAGGAATTCGAAAGAAAAATTATAAATAAGCAACTGTAGTTAACTTACATTTATTTATGCAGATATGAATATAGAAATTTGAAAATTATACAGTAAAATTGATGAATTGATTGTGAATAATAAGCAAGGAATTCTTGTTTATTAAATTCCTGTAAAAATATGTTATTCCTTTCACGAAAAAGCATGTGTTATTATGTATAAAGGACAAATTCAATGCAAAAGTTAATTAAATGAACTTATCCAGGTGGAAGGTAAAACAAAATGTAAAACAACAAATTTTGTTTGGAAACATTTGCCGAGGATAAAGGAGTTGATCATATCCCCCTATCTACAGCAGACACCCACATATATAATGAAACGAGGTGTTTTCCTTTCTCGTAAAGTCTTTATTTCATATTCAATGTGTAAATATGTCAGCGGAAAGGTTTGCGTTCTTTGCAAGCGAAAATAAACAGCGGACGTGTGACCTGTATACTAAGGAGGAGCGTTCCGAATCCCCAAGGATTGATCCATTGATCCAACCGATGTTTTCGACTTATCAAAACCTCCCCTCGTCCCAATTGACTATTGAAAAGTACGGAGAGGCGTCTTTTGGGACCACTTCCTGGTGAATTTCGCGCTTGAAGGGTGTCTCTCTATCCTCAAGTATGTACTCTTTTATAGCGAAAACATTGTACTCGTATTGTATTATTTCCTCTCGTGTTTACATCAGGAGAACAAACGTTTCTACATATCAAAAAATAAAGAAATATTCCTGTTTTACATAAAACTTTAATAAATAAATAATTTTCTCTCTTTTTCACCTGCTTCTCAGATTTCTTTCGACTGTTATAAAACCAAATATGGTATGGTAGGTATGGTGAAAAAGGATACTAGGAAGCGGGGTTTGCACTCCCCAAGCACTGCAGCCTTCTGGCTTAATGTACCTTCCTAGTTCCTTAGTTCAGTGCAATAGACTCAATCTTTCTTCTTAGAAGTATCAGGTCATTGACTGTCGTTTCTACAATTTCATTCCCTAAGTGTTTTCCATTTTTTCGGTTAAATCTCCATTGAGCTGTTACTTCGCATTCGAAGATGATATGAGTGGCTGTTTCCTCCTCCTCATTACATAATCTGCAGATGGGATCATCGTTGTATATGCCCATGTTGTGTAGATGTCTTCTCAGATGCCAGTGACCGGTTAGTAGTTCTATCACTACTCTGAGTCTGGCCCTCTCCAATTGCAGCAGTGCTTTTGACAGTCTTGGTGAGGGTTGTTCCATCATAAGTTTACTATGTCTAGAACCGACAGAGTTTATCCATTTCTCCTTTTGTTTTGTTTGGATCCATTCTCCGATGGAGGATTCTACATTTGTTTTTGTTATCCCAAGTTTAGTTTCAGGGCCTATGTATGGTCTTGCAGATCCTCCTCTAGCCAGTTTATCTGCTTCCTCGTTACCCAAAATTCCCCTGTGCCCTGGCACCCAAGATATCATCAGGTTGTTGTGTTTTCCCAGGTTTTGGAGACTTTGGATGCATCCACTGACTAGTTTTGATGTAATTCTTTTACATGCTAATGCTTTAATAGTTGCTTGGTTATCATATCTCATGAGGATTTTTTGCCAGTGTAACCTCTTTTAAGGTTCCAGGGCACAAGCATTGATGGCATGTGTTTCTGCTTGAAAGACCGAAGTGCCTTCTGTAATGAGTTTGATTTCTCATGTTTTGGGCTTGTATAGAAAACGCCTGATCCGGTTCCTTTGTTTGTTTTGGAGCCATCTGTGTACCATATCATTGTATCTGATGCTCTCATGTGTTCTTCCTCTCCTTTATAGTCCTTTGAGACTTTATAGGAACTTGTAAAGATTGTTTCCGGGCAAACCAAATATAGTAATAACCTTTTCTCACTGGTTTATAAAATTATAAAATAATTCATAAATTTTTTATCACATTTTGTTAGATGAAACTTTATACGTATAGGTGATTATATCTAGACGGAAAGGACCGGATAAACCCCCAAAAGACCGCGGCTACGTTCTCCAAAAAAAAGAACAATTAACCTAATCCCCATTGTGTTAAACCGAGATCCCTTCAGTAAAACGGGTGAAAAACTCCTGAGTCATTTTTAACCAAAAGCTTACACGGAACCTGATCCTACAAAAAGCTAAATTAACAAAACCGAAAAAATAAAGCTATAGAATAAGTGTTCGCTTGGGGCTACAGGGCAATCTTAACATACGAAAAAGCTCCGCAGTCAGGGATAGTAAATTGCCAATGAGTGTTTGGAGATCGTGAGATGCGGTCTGGTGTGACGTAGTTGCAGAAAAACATTTTCTTTATCGTGCCAACGTTTAGATCTTTATTGAGATCATCTTCAGAGCTCAAAGTGTTTGTTTACTGTGTAGATGTGTCATTCTTGTATGTCCTGTTGAGAGTAGCGTATAACAACTAACAAAAAAATAATAATAAAAAAACACTTTGAGCCCTGAAGATGATCTCAATAAAGATCGAAACGTGTGTGAAATGTGTTGTGTTTGGTGACGGTTAGCCAATGGAGTTTGGAGATCGTGAGATGCGGTCTGGTATAATGCAAAAAATATATTTTTTATATACAATCAAAATTCAGAGTGGAAATACTTTGATTGAATATAAAACCATATTTTTTGCATTGGATAAATTCA